TTCTATGTTCGATGCAGTACATGTCTGAAGAAGATAACTTCTTCGGTTCTCAATCTATCCAATGCATTTTTTAAAGTGAGGTGAGGTGAGCTTACACTGTTAGAAGGATATGAATGAGCACAGCAGCAGAATTTATACAAATAAAATACCGAATATACCGGGTACTTATTTTTTAATCGTGGTCCTTATAAGACTAGAAAAGGGCGTCATCAAAAATTTGGTATCTTATCCGAGACATATTGTTATTATTCATTGGAGCTCGTTTTTACGTTGTGGTTTGAAAGGCCAGCACACAACATCACTCGCGAATTAACTTCCGCAGCGGCACCTCTGGCTAATAGCAGCCTCAGTAAAGCATTAGTGCTCTAAGGCTGAATGTGCCAGGGTGACTCTAGTAAATCTCTCTCCCTCACTCCGCAGACAATAACAGACGATAGATCATGTCAACCGCTGGTGGGAGACGGGGAATAGAAGACCTCTACTTCGTTGAATGATCAAGTGAAGAAGTCCGCAATAGCCGAGTTGTTAGCATTACATACTGTCATTCTGAAGTCTAGGTTTTGAGTCCTGGTTGAGCTAACGACTAAAATTACTAGAAAATTTCTATTTCTAAAAGCTTCTTTTCAGCTCTCGATAAGGAAAGTCCGGCTCTTCGATTGTATTTCTGAAATGAAATGAAAGTTCCTTATAAAAAGCCATAGGCCGCTCGGAGGCGGCTTGGTATAAATTGCATTCCCCCCAGTAGTATTTCAGAGAAAGGTTTTGCCTTGCTGATGAGCCTCTTTGTTTTAGTGCCACGTTTTTTTCTGCCATAGTTTCTAGAAGGCAATTGGGTTTATGTAGGGATGTAAAACACTTGAGTTTATAGCTACTGAAGGAAAGCAAGATGCAATAAATTCTCTTTAAAAGTAGATTGAAAGTTTGAGTTGTGGTAAATTTCCTTTTTTTTCATTTTAATTTGTCCGACATCTGGCCCACCTTTCGCTCTCTGCTTAACCAACCACAAGTTATAATTTCTTTCTTTTCCTCTGCTCTGCACCAAAAAAATTTAACGCTAATTTGTCTTCGCTTTGACCTGAATACGAATATATGTGTGTATGTATGTATGTATGTATGTAAATGTGAACCGACATATTTTATTTGTGAATTTCCCCAAACAAACAAACAAATAAACAAACAAATAAGCAAATAAAATCAAAAACAGCAAATTGAGGCACAAACACACACACACACACGCACAAACATTGGCATGTCCGCAATCACAATTTATATCCGCATATATTTACATACATACATACGTACATACATACATATTTAATTGCCTTGCATGCATAAATGACAAAGTTTGGACACGTCCAAACTGCATAGTGCCAGTGATTGCAGTGAAGCGTGCGCCAAAAACTAGTAAGCACAAATCGTACACACATACATACATATGTATATGTACATATAAAAAAGTATATTATACATTTATTAGAGGACTAAAACGTATGCTCTGTGTGTGCGTGTGTGTGCGTGTGTGTGTGTGTGTGTGTATTGAAATATCCTTTTTATTTTTGTATGAGTCATGTTCGTAATGAATTGAGTCAACTTTTAAGCGCATATTTCTCTTGGCCCTCTTACGCCACTGTGTATGTATGTGTGTATGTATGTATGTATGGACGTGTATGTATGTAACTGAACATGAACTGTTGGCAATATAACACATAGTTTTTTTTCAACTTCATCTTTATCATCATCAACTTTTTTCTTGTTCTTCTTCTTATTCTTCTCAATTTGTTAGAGAAAAGAAAGTGGACATTTCGGTAAGGATGTGTCACACTGATATGCTATTCAGACATAAAACTTTTAATGGGATGGAAGTTTAACTTTTTTTTACTTATTTTATTGCTAAATAAACGGTGAGTGACAACACGATCGTATGTATGTATGTATGTGTGAGTTTGCATGTGGGTGCATGTAAATAATCTTAAAAAAAGCAAATTTATTTATTTTTTTTTTGTATGGCGGCTGCGATACACAACGAATTGGTGATCAACTTTTCTCAATTCTTTTGCATTTAACAATTTTGGTGCTTAAACAATTTCTAGTTGCTTGACCGAACTCTTGTTCTTGATAGCCTGATGCCCTTTGCGTAAACAAGTGAAGCAAAACTTTAGGTTAGAAACACACGCTGTCTTAACTAGACGTAGACATCGCTTTGGCAACAATAGCAAGTCAGTCGCTTCTTCTTCTCGTAGAACAAATGAAGTCAGACCCTTCTCCACCTGATCTTTCAACGGAGCGGATGTCTTTCTCTTACGTCAACCAGTGTGCAGCTGTGTAGAGCACATAGTCGAGCCAGTATAGCCTTTCTTCATTTCTATCGCTTACGCCGTTGAAGCCGTGTTAACAACTCCGCACCATTCATTCCTACATTTCGCTGTTTGCCGCCAAATTGGAAATACCAAGCACACTCAGATTCTTCTCCACCTTTCCTTCCTACGGAGTTGATGTGTTCCTCCTGCTCTGTTTCCACCAGCGGGTACTGGATGGAAAACTTTCAAAGCTCGTGCATTTTCCGTAGTATGGACGATATGCCAGTCAACGTAGCCGCTGTCTCTTTAATCGGCGTACACTTTCAATATCGACGTATAACTCGTACAGCTCAGCCGTTGCTAATGAGCAGAGCATCATATATCTTTAGAAAAACTCTCTCTCTCTATCTCTCTCTTTCGCTCTCTCTATCTCTCTCTCTTTCGGTCTCTTTCGCTCTCTCTCTATATCTCTCTATATCTCTCTATATCTCTCTCTATATCTCTCTTTCTCTTTATCACTTTCTCAATCTCTCTCTCTTTTTCTCTTTATTTCTCTCTGTATCTCTCTCTCTATCTTTATCTCTCTCTCTCTATCTGTATATCTCTCTCTCGCTCTCTCTATCTCTTTATCTCCCTCTCTATCTCACTCTCAGACTTTCAAGACCGACTCACCGCATGTCGACATCATCCAGGCTTCTGCTCTATATAGCAGGTCACAAATATCGAGGGACTTGTAAAGTTTAGTTTTCAACTCTTTGAGAAAAAAGTAACTTCTGGGCTGACATTATTATTGGGTCTACAACTTCTACACCAGTCATCAGTGAGGTGGCAGACAATGTGCAAGTACGCTGACTTTAGCCACACTGTTAAGTTTGCTGACGGTAGGATCTTATAATTGACGCAGATTATAAATTGGATAGAGCGCGCTCTGCATACCATCGTCGAATATACTTTCCTCAGTTCACATTCTGCAAAGAAGCTATTGCATGTATCTTATCAATTCTTTGCCGTCATTTTCGAGTCGCTCAGCCGGAAAGTAATTGGCTTTTGCCACTTTCTTGTTCTTTGGGCAATCAATCGCTATTCGAACATCGCCAGTTCGGAATGTCTATTCCACTATTATCGACCGCGCGTCTGGGTTTATCCCCTACGGGTGCTGTGCTTTCACTGCTATTGAGTAGACAGACCTTGGTCGCTTGATCACCTCCTTTTTTCTTAAGGTTTTGAAACCTTCAGCCAGTCACTGAGTCTTTTCATAGAATTTTCAAGTATCACCACTACCGCTCAGCTCCTTGAGCTCTGGATACTAACGCATTTCGGCTTCTTTCTTCTTTTTCTGCAAATTTATCTTATTTCCCTGCTTCCCCTCACGTGGTGAGGATGATTGCAACATTCCGAGGCAGGCAAACCATACCCATCGTACCTGCTTTTCTTTCCGGAAGTCAATACTTTCGTTTGCAATGGTACTTAAGGAGCTTGCAATGCCGTCCCACACTTCCCTTATACCGAGATGCTTATTAGTGCTCTCAAATAGCAGGAGTACAAGCCAAGCTTTTCTGCATTCGGCAACTTTTCTACATCGAACCTTTCTTGTGTTTGGTGACGGGCGTGCTTTGCTGAACAGAGGCGGGTATGTGTCTTGGATATAAATCCGAGGCGATTTTAGATTCCCTAGACTTATGGTCATCTAAAACTCTAGAGACATGTCTTCCTTTTAACATAACATGATCGATGCGAGTGGTAGCCATGTAGCTCGATGAATTTTCTTGTGCCGAAACGCTACAGACAACCAACTTTACGGTGAATTCGATTACCTTCAACTCATTTGGAGGTATTTTCTCATGACGACTTTATTTATCGGCTGTTGCATCTTCTTTGTCACCCGGTCGTTAAATTCCTCAAGCGAGATATTGGCGGGCAACGTGGCGGGCAGCGCTCTCAGGTTCATTAAAAGCACTTAAAAAAGGTCTCTGTGGACACCTCATTCTTCTCTTCCATAGAGATATGGACGCAACTCAGTGATATCTTGAAGAGCTTTACTTTGATGCGGCGACGTTCATCCAACAGGTTGAACAATAATACTCCATATCTGATATCTCGATATCTCACCACCCGCCCCACAAATCCTATAGCAAGCTGGCGCGCCATTATATGGTCGCAGTAGATGTCATAAGAACTTAGTATCCTTCGACATTGTCCCGTTCGGCGCATATCTTAGAAAGCAATGATGTCGGCCATATTCAGTCGCACGAGGATATCAAACAGCAGAACGGCGGCACCTTCCCCTAAAAAAGACCCGACGTTCCATGCATCTCAATTGGAATTTCTAAATCAAGTGCTAATCTTTTCACTGGAGCTCAATTCTATTTACATTGCGGCTCCCAGCCAAGCCAGCGTAGCCGCACGGCTAACAGATTTTTATATGGAGGTTTTTCATTTCATGTCAAAAATACACTTTTTTATTTTAATTCATTTTCTATAATTTTGTATGATCCGGTACGGGTCACTCCACAGTTAGAATGTTGTGACGAGTTTATTTAGTAACTAGATTAGACTAGAATATCAAGGGAATATGCATCCTAATGGAATATTGTTTTTGAGTCAAACCATTCATTGCAAAAACATAATTATAAACGGAGTATAAAATCTCTTTGCAAGAAATTGAATTTTTCGAATTAATAAAAAATGTGAATTGCATCTTACCTGCTTGAAAACACCTTAAGGCATTGCAAATTTCCTTTTCTCAGCAAACCACTCACGGTGAGTTAAATTATTTTCACGGTAATTTGTTATTTCACTGCACTGAATATTTCTTATTTATTTTTTTTTTTTAGAAATTTATTTTATTGGATTCAAAACAACTTTTTTGTAGTTATTTATTTATATTATTGGTAAAAAAATTTTCTTCTTTTACTTTGATTTATTTATTTTATTTTATTTTATTTTTTTTTCAATATTATAATTAAATTATAATTTTGTTTCACTTAATTTTATATATCTACACAATCAGTATGTTTGTTTTTCAAGTATATATGTATTTTCTCATTTATTTCTGGCTTTCCTTTATTATATTGTAAATTCACTAAGGAATAATTTATTCCACTGATTTTTTTTTTAATTACTCATATTCAATAATAATTTCAATTTTACCACTCCAGCAATTTTGTTTTCGTCTAATTTTCAATTACCAACACAATTTATATACAAATCTTAACATTTCACACTTCCATCAATATTCAATATGCACAATCTTTGCACTTTCATTTATATTCAATGCCCAAAAATTACTGTGTATTTATTGTCTAGGCGCTGGAAAATCTAGTCAACATCAATGTCGCTTTATGTGAAAGTCGCCGACGCGCGAAAAATTAACAAGCAAATATTTAATATTCGTAATGGCCAATAATGCTCGCATCATCAAAATGCAAGACACGAGCCATAGACTCTGCAGCGCTTAACAGGACGTTGCCTGCGATATATAATTCGACGCCGTCGTCGTCGTCGTCGTAAGCGGTAACGCGTATTAATATCGAATTGAGTAAAATGAAAATAACCGTTTATCCGCACAATACAGTTCACTCACGTCCAGTTACGGCAACGTACTAACTGCGACTAGGATACGCCGTGCACGCCACACGCCACACGCCAAGCATAAATCCGAGTTGAGCATTGCTACTGCCAGTGCCAGTGCTGGTGTGTTTGCTAGTAAAGTCGACGAGACAGAGTCACTGAATCCGACGAAACGTGATGAAAACATTTTCGCTGCTGCTGCTGCTGCTGGTTTGGTGCTTCGGCGCTGCGTGATTGCCACACTATGCTTTGCCGAAGTTGATATCCTGCAACAACACAGACCGGCAAAACAACGACAGCAGACAAAGCAGTAATAACAACAACTCAGGGGGTGGTAAGTGTTGTGTGGCAATGATTATGTTTATGTTGTTGTTTCTGTTGGTGCTGGCGGTGGTGATGATGGTGGTGGTGGTGGCGCTGGTGCTGGCGGCACTCAAACAAACATGCTAGTCGCTTGCCAGTGTTGAGAAACGATTTATTTCTTGGTATTGTTTGTTTCAAAAAGCAATCGGTGGTTGTTCCATCGAAGGACCTTCAGCTGTGCTCTGCAATCGCATGTTTTGCCTTAGTCGTCTGCCAATTCCACTTTGCATATGTTCAACTATGCACTCACGTATACGCTGCTTATTCGGGCGTTATTTTGGCCACCCCTTTTACAAATGCACTTGCAGGGGGTGCTTTTGGGTGGAAGTCAGCTTCTCGCCTGTATGTATGTATGTATGGCGTTATATATTTTGAGTGTAGTCGCTGCAACTTAAGTACGTATGTATGTATGTAGTAGCGGTCTCAATGATTGCAGCACAATGTTCAAACTTGCATTTCAAGCAGTAATTTATTAAACTTCTAAAATGTAAAAACGAATAGCGGAAGCTGATGAAGCAACTCATGAAACTGTTTTATCGACTGTTATAAGAAGATGTTTAATACAGTAATCGGTAGCTATCGATACTTATGAAATTTTATACATTCTGAAAGAGAGTGCTGTAATAAACTGCTTAATGTATTAGTTTTTTGTTTTCTTCTCTGTAAATAATATGTTTTGTCAAAGAACGTATATAAATATACGTTCTTTGGTTTTGTCATTAGAAAGTTATATTAGCTTAACCGATGGCAATAAACTAATCTGTTCATCTAAAGTAGACTAAACCCGAGTAGAAATTAAGCATAAACGTAATTTATGATCCCCATGTGTTCTGAAGTTCATGTCTAAGTTTTGGAAGTCTAGATAACGTAGCCATAAAGTAAAACGAACTGAAATATGGACGACTCAAGGAAAGTTCTATCGAAATAAGTTTGCAGGCACGATAGTTTGCAAGCAAAAAAATTTTCTCTGGCAGCATTTGGTTGTAATATAAATTGAATACTTTGCTTCCCTCCGTATATTTCATTGGAATTATTCGAGTTTTGTACGGTTTATTACGTTTAAAGAGATAACCAAAAGATTTCCATTACTGATTTTAGTTGATACTTAACTTCTTTAATTATTTACTTCATCGGCTTTTTCCATTAACGATCTTTGTGTAAAAAATCTACTTTACCAAACAAATAAAAGGCTTTGAAACCATTTTCCTCTTCATTTATTTTTCTATAAAAAAGTTAGAAATATATAATATTATATATATATATATATATTCAACTATTGGTAATCGTAAGCTGAAAAATAATTTTGTTTCTTCAATTATAATAAAATATATTGATTTGGAAATTAAATATATTACATAGTGTAGACTGAGGATTATCCGCCTCTAATTCTATTACAACTCGGAGAATGTGCTCAATTTGAAGTGATTCACTTCCGTTTCATCGAAGCAACCCTGTGTACGAACCCAGCCAAAATCCGACATTTTGTTTTTCATCACCTTTTCGGAAGCGAGGCACAGAAAATATTATACACACATAATTAATCGATTGAAGCCATTGAAAGCAGCAGCAAGTGTATTAGCAGCACAGGAAAAGTGAAAATTTACATATTTGTCTATATATAAAGTAAAAGTAAATTAAGTGAAAATGGGCGATCAAAGAGGTACACGCGTCTACGTCGGTAATTTGACCGATAAAGTAAAGAAAGACGACTTAGAAGGAGAATTCACCAAATACGGCAAGTTAAATTCTGTATGGATTGCTTTCAATCCACCAGGCTTCGCATTCGTGGAATTTGAACATCGTGATGACGCAGAAAAAGCATGCGATGTACTTAATGGTACAGAATTGCTGGGCTCCCAATTACGTGTAGAAATCTCCAAGGGGCGGCCACGTCAAGGTCGCCGTGGTATGGGCGATCGTGGTCGACGGGACTTCGGCCGCCGTAGTAATAGTGGTGGAGGTGGCGGCGGGTACCGCCAACGTGGCTCTGGAGGCGGCGGCGGTGGTCGTTACCATGACCGCGGCTACTCCGGTGGCGGTGGCGGCCGTCAAAGCGGTGGTTACAGCAGCCGTGATGGCGGCAGTAGTGGCTTCAATCGTCGCGACGTTTACGGTAGCAGCAGCGGAGGACGAGATAGTGGACGCTCATTCGGCGGTGGTGGTGGCTACGGCAGCGGAAGTGGCGGACGTAGTGGTGGCAGCAGCCAAGGTGGAGGACGCTTCAGATCGCGTTCACCAGTGGGACATCGCTTCTAAACTTCTAAGCAACGCGCTAATACGAGAACAAGTAATATGAATAATATTGTGTTTGTAAGAGAAGGTAGCATGAAGTGATTGTTGGAACTCGCGTGTGTGTAGGACCAACAGCGCATATTTTAAAAATTTATAGGAGATTATTACTAGTACGCAGTAGTTTGAGAGTATTTGAGAAATGCAGAATTTGCAATTCGTTTTAGAAATGTAAGGGATATCGAAATACAAACCAAACACCATGTGTTTGAAAAACAACAAAAAAAGAAGAAAAAAAAATTATAAAACATTAATTGGTTTAAGTAAATGTAGAGCAAGCAGACATCATGCGACCGTAGAAGAACACGATGATGAAGATTAATAATGATGATATGATGATGATGATGATAATATGTAGAAAATGTCTACCGCTAACCAAATTTAACGCTATATATAAGCTAATTCGAGACCAGTTACTACGCAAGCAAAAGAAAAAATATCATAACATTTGAAATAAATTATCTTCAATATCTATGTATACTTAACAGTATTCGTAACATTATCTGGATGTATTGATTTTTCTTCGAATTTTCGTTTATAAAACTTTATGTTCATTTTTCGCTAATCTTATCTACACAAACATATTTCAACTACGACATATACGACGTTATTTATTCTACACTTCCAGCCTTAAATCCACGCCTTTACACGCTCGCTCGCGTATATGCATTATCCAAGTTCCAACTCCTCGCAACTCCGAATTGGCTTCGTTTTATGTTCAAACTCGGCCGTCTCAAGATGAAGTATAAAGCAGACTTCGAAAATTTCATTACAACAGCGCCTAACGCGTTTCTTATGAATACCGCGGAACTCATGTTACATACCCTCCGATTTAAGAAAAACAAATTTCAATCGTACTTCGTTTGTATTTTACGTACGCTCACGAAACAAGTTTTCCAAAACTTCCAACATTTTTAAACTCAGTCCTCCGCCTTTTTATTATTTTCGTTTGCCACCATTGCGTCGCACATTTCCGCTTTTCATATTCATCGCACAATATTTCGCAAATCAATCCAGTTATCAGCCAAACTGAAAAGTCGTATCGTATCATTCGAAACCGAACGCGTCCAACTATCTTCTATCTATCTCCGTCTGCGCTTCCGTAAAAGAAATTCACATACTTCGCATACCAAATTGAAAAATTGATGATATGCTTCGTACTTGTCCATGGATTAAATCCCCTCCTCAACCCAAACCGACTATCGGTCGTACCCTTTGTGAATGCTTAATGCTATTATCATGTAACGCCTCGTCAATATGCATTTACAATAATAATGGGTACATACAAAAATGATCGGAAGTACCCTAAAGAGTCGGTGGGGTAAATGCGCTTAATATAAGTAAGTGGGAAAAGCTCCCGCTTACAACCTCAAATGCACTGTAAGCTTACACAATTAACGCGACAGGACTGATGGACTATTAACTACTACTAATTTTTTTTTTTTCATATTTGTTTTTTTTTTTTTTCGCTGACTGACTACAAACACTCCTACTACTAACTCTTGACTTCATTTCCAAAGTCTTATGGTTTCATCGATATCAGTAAGTATGATTTAGCATTGTAAGGGGCTTATGGTTGGGTTTTTAATGTGATGAAAATTTTCAATATTATTGCAACGATGCAACTGACCATTATGAAAAGTTTTATATTTGTATTTCAAACACTAAAGGTGTTGATTCTATCATCTTCAAAGCTTTGGCTACAGATAAATTTCGAATTTATTAATTAACTTCATTCATCAGTTTCATACTTAAATATTAAATACAAATGGTTAGCAATATGAATAACTAAATTATACTAAGTAATTCAGTTCACAATTATGTTAAAATAAATGCAATATATAACTAATCTTAAATAAAGTTTTTTTTTTTTATTTAAGAGTAGGTTTATTTATGTATGGACATTTTTTTTCGTGTAGTAAAGTTTATTTGTAGAAGATTCAGTTTTTGAGCAAAATATTGGCGTTGAGGGGAAATGCAAAGGCCTATATCTATGTATATGTATATGCATACTTATAAATGACTCCTCATCATTCTAAACTTAGAACGCTTCAGCGGTTACAATACGCCACTTATATATTATATATAGGTATTTGTGCTCCTTTCTCAGAGCTTAGCGAATAATACTCACAACTACCGCAATGTGCTCGCTAGATAGCCAATCAAGTGATTTAAATGCCGGTCCCATGATGACGGGTGAAAATTAGTAGAAGTTTCTTTCATGATCTAAGACTTCTTCATGTGGTGGCCCGTTCGGGTCGTTGAAAACGTATTAATGAGGAAGGAAGATTATTTATATATTCCACAGATCCATCTTCACCGCCTGTCCTAGAGGACTATTTCAACGAGACGACGACGCGAAGCATGTCTCAAATTGTGAAAGAATGTTGAAACTGTGCAAGTTTAAAGGTGAGGCAGTTTGCTGCTCAAAGTCCTAACCCAGCTTTACTACTCCACTGACCACTTAAGATTGCATTACATATATGCTAAAATGCAGGAAACAATAAGCTAGAACACAAAGTTATGTACGGTTTAGCGCACCTCCTTTAAACACTCAAAAGTTTAGTATTTTGATCGGATTGGGGAGCCCCGTTATTTATCCATTTAATACATGTATATTATAAGGAGCTATATAGTTTCGCTATCGTGCAAGAGAAGCAAATTGGTAAAAAAAAAAAATATATGAAATTAAAACGACACTTTTATCTTTTTTTGGAATCTTTATACTTTTTTAAATTTTTTTTTTAATTTTAAAATATGCGGTTACTTTAAAATGAAAGCCCTTTTATTTGCAATATCTATCTGCTTTCATTTTACTACGTCGGACCAATAGCGCCTCATGTAAAGTGCCCTGGTCTTTGGCCACTTCGAGTTCCTTGATGTCGTTCTTGTTGATGCGCAATTTTTTATCTTGAAATTTCTGAAACTTTTTGCTTTAGCACAAAAGACATATGAAAATTAAAAACAATTATTTTATCATTATAATGTGATTGAAAACATACACATAGTTCCGCTCCACTTCTGTTAGATTTCCTTTTTCCTCTTTGGGTTCTTCATCCTCCTCTGCTTCACGTTGGGCGTTGCAGCGTATTTTACAAATCTCAAAATCTGTCACTTTTTTACGAAGCGCAACACATGCATCATCTTCTGGATCGATTGACATGAAAAAGCCAGTTTCCGAAAGCAAAGCCATTTTGCCATCCTATAAACATACATACAAGTTACTGATTAAGCAAACGCTCAATGACTTGTAGTTACAGTAGCTAACCTGAAATATTGGCTCCCACTGTTCCATGCTGCCAACAGCTTCTGAACGACCCGTTACCATGCCATCTTTCTCTATTTTCAAATACTTGCCATAACCAGATTTAATGGATATTTTGGTTTCATTTATTGAGAATGCAGTAAAAATCTCCTCTGGATCAGGACCATCACCCTCATTATGTGGCGGCCCAATTGTAAATAAACCATTGTCTAATGCCTTTAAATAGGCACGTTCGCCAAATTCAATAGCTACTGCGCCAGTAATTTCCGGCGTGCTCTTTGCTAACCACCAGCCACCGTGACGTAGCGCATCTTCATCCACCTCCGTCTTGCGTTTTTTCGCCTTATCTTTGTCCTTGTGCTCCTTATCACGCTTATGTTTTTTCGATTTTCTGAAATGGTTGATGCGTCGGTTACACTCATTAACATCATAATAAATAATTTTGCATTAATTACTTTGGTTTTTCGCCTTTTAACACTAATTTGCCAACCCGTACACTATCATATGCAGACATTATTCTAAATATTGTTTTGAAGAAATAATCATAATTCGTCTTTTTGTTTATATGGTGATGTTCACTGTTGGTGAATTCAATACAGGGTTGCATTTCTGAAATTAGTACGTACTCTCTTAAGGGCTATAAGGAAAAGAGCTCAAGAAGATATTCTAAATACATCCAATCCTCGATACAAAATATTGAAACCTCTGAATATATGTTTATCCGACGCTATATAATAGTTAAATATTTCAAAATTATTGAAAAAATAACGCAGGGTGAATAAAACAACTAAAATGAACAAATAAGTATAATCTTCCAATGTTGCTACTTCAATTATTTATCCCTTAAATAGTACAAAAACAAAAAGGCACATGCCAAATCTGATTTTCAATATTGTATACTGTCAAATAAGAATTCACTGAACATATACATACACCGTTCTCTAAGCTAGTGAAGTCGAATTCATTCCACACAAATCTAAAAAAACACCAAAAAGAGAAATTCTTGTTGCCATTATAAAATAGTTACATCAATTAATTGGGTAATAATAGAATTATCTCGATCTTTATTTAATACATGTGTTTGAAACAAAATTAAAATAAACGCCGATTTTGTCAATTGTGCATTCTCTAAGTTGCAAAAAAGCTGCCGCGAATACGACAACGAAAGAACCGCATGTAAATTAATAGCTTTAATGACCGTATCGACGCATTGGATGCTTTTCACAATGAATATGTAGCGGGAAGGTGGTGGGTATAGGCAGGATATTTTTGTGAGGAAGCTAAAAAGGAGAAATCCAAAAATTATGCTATAAATGTTGGGGCAGGATGTGCAGCGAATGGGAACATCATAAAGAAGTGTCAAAATTCAGATAATGAGCTTCTCTGTCGAGTGAATAAAGTGCATGGTATACTTGCCGGTCATATCAAGTCGGAAGTATCAACAAGAAAATTTTTGTAGTGGGTTGCACGCTCCGGTATGCAAGAAAAAAAACTAAAATTATTGGTTGCACCTACGCATTGAAGTTAACGTGCCCGGAAATATATAAAACTAGTTCAGTGCAATAATATTTATTTCACAAATTTGGTTAATTTAATAGTGTTTATTGCAAAGTCATTAGTGTGGCATTTTCAAGCCGGAATAAACTATTGCTTATGATAATGAGAGTCGAAACTACTTTTTACCGTATATCCAGTATCCTTTTTTCATCTTGCATTTTTTTTATTAAAAAAAAATACAACACAATTTCTCTTTCCTTTTAGTTCATGTCAGCATTGTTGCTCTGCATTTTCTCCTATGTCGTTGTGTTATGCTCTTTGATTCGCAGTCGGCCCAGCAGTGCTTTTGTTTACGGCGTTTATTTGACATTTACTACAACCACCAGCTGTGCGATAAATCCAGAGTGCGTAATAAAAGAATGTTTGATAGCCTAAAAGCAGACCAAGTAATTTTTTTGTTATAAATTTTAACTTGCTATTTTTATACTAATTTATTGTATTTTATTTTTTTCAGAGCAATTAACCGCAGTAAAATTTTGGAACAATATTTTTTATAATTTCCCAAAGTGATGAAGTACATATAAACGCCGAAGTGAAGAAACAGTCTAATTGAATTGCATTACTATACATTTCCCTGAGATACATATATGTATATACGCACATAATTACGCTGAAAGGAAAAACAAATTAGCTACCGGTCTCCTAATAGGAATTAGACATCAACTGAGAGGACATCAACACATTCACTGATTGATTAAATATTATAGATATTTTAATAATTTTGGTATTTTGGCTTTCTCACACCTACGCACACATTTATCATAAACAATCAAAGTGCTTGCTATGCCCCGCGGTAAACGACGTTCCCAACACGATATGGGTGGCGAAGAGGAGCGTACAACTTCCAAGCGTTCACGCGGTAGTTATGCTACACAACAAAATACCAGCAGGTAGTTATAAACTATGTACAAATCATTCAAATAGCTTCCTTGATCATAGTTTTTACAAGTATATTAAGGAAAAATGAAAAATCGTTATTTGTAGTTAGTATTGGATATTTTTGGCATGCTAATGCAATTGCCGCATATAATTCTATAAATGTACATATATACACGCACTGATAAGTATTTATACATATCAATGCAGTATGCTTATCAGCGAGTGAACATTCCTGTGTAGGTACTTAAAAAATATGGATTGTGAGCTATTCCACATCACACTCATATTATTAATTTATTAAACATAAATTACGTGCCTTTGCTGAGCAAGGCAATTATGGCATATTTTAAGAAACATTTTATTATTATTAAGTCTGCTTTTTAAATTTTTTTGTAATTTTTATAGAACATAATCATTGAAAGTAGCAAACGCCCTGTATTTAGTGTACATTCATATCAAATTCATTGATAACTGTGTGTATGATTTGCATTTTATCAGTAATTATTTTTGCAATATTGTCATTGTTTTTGTTATTTTATTGATAACAGTCATGGCGCTGTGGAGTGATACGACGTACGATTTCGTTTTGATTATTAGTCATAATTTTACAAGTGCAAGAGTTACAGTTAAAAGCGGAGTAATGAAATTGAAAATACCAAAGATTAATATAACTAATAGGTAGTGTTTTGAAACATACACATAATACAAATATTGTAAAAAATTGATTTATTTATTCAGCTGTTGAAAATATCTAAAACTTACGCAGGCATGTACATATGCACATTTGTGAGCAAAAAAAAAAAAACTATTTCAAAATACGCTTCAAGTCTGCAAAGAAGTGAAATGCACTTTTTAATTTTATTAACTTCCTAGAGCGCAGCGTAATATCATCTATAAAGTTGTGTCATCTGTTTGTACGCGTATAATAGATTTTCTTTATTTTTCGGCATTTTTTATTTATTTTTTGTTTTTTTGTTTTTAGTTTCAATTTCCACCAGTTTCTTTTTCGATGATATTGTTGACTTTTTTCTTATGCTGCTCATTGTTTGCTGCCATTTGCTGTTTTTATTTGTTGTTGGTTTGTAGTGTGTGGCTATTTATAGGAGAAGGCAAGCAGAAGCAACAGCAACAACGTCAGCGGCTGTATACGAAAAATGCTCAAATAATAATAATCAGCTGCAAGCACAAAGTATTTTCTTGTCTTGATATTTTGTTTTTGTTATTCTTTATTTAATTTTAATCTTATTTACGTGTTGCTCATTTAGTTACGCGCGTATTCATATAAAAGAGAATTGAATATTGTTTTATATTTGCTAATTAACTCAGTGATTTCCACGTATAAATGGAAAAGTAATATTTTTTTTTAAAGCATTTTACATATGCACATATGTATATATTAATCAAATGGTCAATTTGCTTAACGTTTGCTCATGCATATTTACTTTTCTATTTGCAGACGCCACATCAAGGCTGACGACAGTTTTAGCCAAAAGCGTTGTGTCGATTGGTTCTGTAAATACACAAATCCCGATGAGCCGGATACGCTTGGTAAGTATCTACATATATACATACATGCATTGTTGTGTGCTTAATATTGAAGAAATTATTATTAATTTCATGAAATTTAATTTGCAGGTCCCGATGGCATGGAGAAATTCTGCGACGATATTGGTGTTGAGCCAGAAAATGTTGTGATGTTGGTATTAGCCTACAAAATGGGCGCTACACAAATGGGCTTCTTCAGTCGTTGTGAATGGTTAAAGGGCCTCACTGAATTGGAATGTGATTCTGCTGCAAAAATGCAATCTAAATTAGAATATTTAAAAAGTATACTCAACGATCCAAATGTCTTCAAAAGCATATACAGATATGCCTACGATTTTGCCAAGGTACGAAAGTTTATGGGAATAACGAATATATATAATAATCGATTTTTTCCAACGTAAGAGGCTAAACACTAGATTAAAATCAATAAGCTCGTGTTGCCAAAAATGTGGTTCCACCCTAAGTATACAGCTTTACTGCTATTTCGATACTGTATTTACTTGCCTAACCGAGTATTCGAAAATCTGCGGCTATAGTAGCTGAGTGGTTAGCAATGCGTGCAAGCATGTGGCCTCGAACTATGCATTCTTTTTACATTTATACCTTTTTTGACTTTTAGACATTTCTTTAATATATATTCCTTAACTTTCAGGATTCCGATCAGCGCAGCATGGATATAAATACAGCAAAAGCTATGCTACAGCTGCTACTTGGCAAGCATTGGCCCCTCTACCCGCATTTCGCGCAATTCCTCGATCAATCAAAGTACAAAGTTATTAACAAGGATCAGTGGTGCAACATACTGGAGTTCTCGCGCACAATTAACAACGATTTAATAAATTACGATATCGATGGAGCATGTGAGTAACTCAGTCAGCTGACAGACTAGTGTGAAAAATTTCACCATAACTAATATTCATTAATTTCATTTTTCAGGGCCTGTTATGTTAGATGAATTTGTGGAATGGTTACGACTGCAACGCACCTGCACGAGTTCTACAACATTAAGCTGAAATTATATTTAAAATAAGGAATTTATGATATTATAAAACAAAAGCAAAAAAAAATACAAACCGGGATTAATAACACAACCAACTACAAACAAACAAAAAGATCAACTAAAATGAAACTCAAGTACCAACAAATACATAAAAAAAAATTAATAAAATATAAAGTAAAGAAGAAAATGAAAATCAACAAATTCCAAAGCGAAAATAGTAAAATAAATTTGTAACAACAACAAACACAACAAGGAGTTATCAAACAGTCAACCAAGTATCCAAAAAAAAAAAAAAAAAGAATTAAGAGATTAATTAAAGGAAACAATGTAATAATAATAATACAACAAGATAATATTTAATGTATTACTATTTAATGATTGTAACAAGAATACAAAATCTACAATTACTACGATAAATAGTAATTATCATATAATTTGCTTTTCAACAATAATACACATAAATTATAATAATTACAAAGTAAGTTACCGTTGATAATAAAGGACGAATGTTAAAGTTAGGGATCAAGACTACATTCATATAAAAATTACAACAGAGTACAGTACTGGGCATAATAGCACAACATACTTCATCAAATACTATACGTACATCTAGGTATAACGAAACATATTTGCACATCTATATATGTGCCCGAAAAGACAGTTACAATGGCAGCATTTGATACAGTTAGAATACAGTCATTCATTCATACAGCCCTAAGTCAGAAACTAAATATTTGAAAACTGAAATTAAACAAAAGTATATAGCCACATTTGGAACATTTAGTATTTAGTGATGGTAATAATAATAATAAAAATAATTATAGTAATTAAAGTGATGATGATGGAGGAGGAAAGCAAGTTAACAATGTCAGTGGAGCTTACTGATAGATGAGACTGTGCTGGAGCGAAACTAATGCATGTGAACTTTGATAATTATTGAAAAAAAGAGGAAAACAGAAAATCTGAGATACATATTCAAATTGAAAAAAGTAATAAAAATTAAATTAAATTAAAAATGAAAATTATAATTTGTTTGAATTGTAAAGTATAGCTTTGTAACTGATTCTTTATTAAGATCGACCCTACCAAAATGTTTAAACGCTGTAGTTGTTGTTGAAGCTGTTTGTTAAGCCTACGAGAACTTTCAAAGTAGTTGTACGTTGATGTCGTAACTGTAAAAAAAAAATATTCGTACATGGGTTTTTGAGTAAGTCGATTTTACGGACGGCATTCAACACCATATAAAAGAACTGCTGGATAGAACCACAGGCTTTAAATGCCATTCACATATGTATGTCCTGCATGCAAACCCACATAACCCCCTATTCCCTTTGATAACCTCGATGACTTAGACTGACCTCGCCTGCGCCTATGCGGGGTGAGACTAGCCGGTAGCAGTCATCCGCATTTCTTGTGATGGTGAAGGATAATTATTTTAAATATTTCAATTGGAATACATAAAAAGAGGTACGAATTTCTGTAATAAATATTTTATGGAAATTCCCAATTAAAAATCGTAAGCTTTTACTATCCCAATATAGAATGATTTATCTCATTTGTCATTGGATGTTCGATATTTATTTATAACATTTTAATTGATTAATCTATTTTCCCGGCACACCCTAAGTAATTGACAATAATCAACCCTGCGTCACGCTACCATTCACAATTATTAGACAACAAATCAAGTTCGAAAATGTCGTAGAAAACAGATCGACTGATTTTGACATTGCCTCAACACACACTTAAGTGAGAAAAGGACAACATACTTGTTGTAGGCGCAAAAGTCATTCGAAAAGAATTTTGAAAATTCTGCCACAAACGGTTTTCATTATCCTCTCGATCATATTTTTACAGGCCCATTTTCATTGCTTCTTTCTGCGCTCGAGTTGATCGTGAAATTTTTCGGTTGCGCCGACGTTGTCGTCTTTCATTGATTGTTGCTTATTTTTCCCCTTTTTTTAAGAATAAACTATTGCAATTTTTAGACGACAAAGGCAAGCGGGTGTAATTGTTTATATAAATATTTCAGTTAAGTTGTTTTATTTTGCGTATTTTCTTTGTGCAATCAAGCAGCGTTTGCCGGGACAGCGACAAAAGCTAGCGGATTTAGATTCACTTACGGAGGATCTGTGCAGTAAACGTGCGTGCTAGTGTGCTTGTGTGTGTGTGTTTGTTAAAAGCAACTAAAACTTTGCTTAAAAAATGGCACAAAAGACTGATGATAAAACGGCAGATATACCAGAGCGTCTTTATGATTCTACTACGCGATCCACCTACAAACGCTTGCGTTTCTTCGGAAAAGTAAGTATATTTGAATGAAAAGAATTATATGCGCTATATGGAGCACCTAGAATAGGAATATAGTGTGCCGTGTAATGCGGCTGATGCTGAGCACTTTACTTTAGGCAATTAGCTGATTAAGCAGAAATATAATTTTTACCTGTATTATTTCTAAATTAATTATTTGTAACTTGTTCTACAGGGCGGCTTTGCGAAATGCTACGAGATTGTCGATGTAGAGACGAACAATGTATACGCAGGCAAAATCGTATCCAAAAAATTAATGCTTAAACATAATCAAAAAGAAAAAATGTCTCAGGAAATCACCATACACAAAAGTCTGAATCATGAAAACATTGTAAAATTCCACAGCTTCTTTGAGGATAGCTTTAATATCTATATTGTGCTAGAGTTGTGCAAAAAGCGGGTAAGAAATGTTTGCTTGTTAATTTGCTGTGAATTTGAAAATTAACAACATTTTATATTACACTTTAGTCTATGATGGAGTTGCAAAAACGTCGTAAAACTATAACTGAATATGAGTGCCGATACTACATATATCAGATTATACAGGGAGTAAAATACTTGCATGATCACAGAATTATACATCGTGATCTTAAATTAGGTAATCTCTTCTTGGATGATCTGTTGCATGTAAAGATCGGAGATTTCGGACTTGCGACGCGTGTTGAATTTGAAGGCGAACGCAAAAAGACACTATGCGGTACACCGAATTATATTGCGCCTGAGATTCTCAATAAAAAGGGACACTCATTTGAAGTAGATATTTGGTCGATTGGTTGTGTTATGTATACACTTTTAGTTGGTCAACCGCCATTTGAAACTAAAACATTGAAAGATACTTATGAGAAAATCAAAAGGTGTCAATATAGGTAAGTTAAATAGAAAACAATCTTTTTCATATTGATTAAATGATTTTTATTTTATAGGGTACCAAGTTATCTCCGCAAATCTGCCGCTGACATGATTGTCGCTATGTTGCAATCCAATCCGGATTTGCGACCAACAATTGGCAAATTGTTGTCCTTTGATTTCCTCAGCTGCTCACCAGTGCCGATGTTCTTGCCCAGTTCTTGTTTGACCATGGCACCACGTATTGAAATGAGTGAAGGGTTGTCGGCAGATGCATTGGGTAATCGCAAGCCATTAGTGGAATTGAATGGCATAAAAGATGATACAAGATTGGAGCATACATTTCTTAAAAATAATTTACATGACGCCATCACGGCTTCTGCACAAGTATTTCGACATAATGAGGATTACCGAGCGGATATTGAGAGTCTGCATATACAGTTGACAGAGTTGATTAATGCCAAGGTAAGATATATGTACTTAATTTTATTTATATATATTTAATTATAATTTCTTGTTAGATATTTTTAATTATTTTTTATATATTTTTAATTTTCTTTTAAAGTTTTTTTTATATATTTAATTTTTTTATACAAATTACTTTTTTTATATATTTCAATTTATTTTTTTATATTTTTAGTTTTTTTTATATAATTCAATTTATAATTTTTTATATTTCTAAATTTATTTTTTGTTTTGTTTTTTTTTCATAATTTTAATTTATTTTTATTATATAATATATTTTTATAATTTTAATATTTTTTTTTAACTTCAATAAATTTTTAGTTTTTTAATTTTTCTATATTTTTTATTTTAACACTTGCTTCTTTTATTAATTTTATTACTTTTCTATTTATTTACTTATTTATTTTTTTATTCCTATTTAAATTTTACTTATTTTCTATTATAATGAGCAATAACATCGACTATTTTGTTTTTGTAGCCTAAGCTACTGCCCCGCAATTTGGGAGATGAAAATACTGATCCAGCTGCGCAACCACTTTTCTGGGTATCAAAGTGGGTTGACTACAGTGACAAGTATGGCTTTGGCTATCAGTTATGCGATGAAGGCATGGGCGTTATGTTTAACGACACCACAAAGCTTATTCTATTGCCTAATCAGATGTGAGCATATAGGAAAAGATTTTCTGTTATAAAATATAATAATAATTATGTACTATTTTCACAGCAATGTACATTTCATCGACAAAGATGGCAAGGAAAAATACATGACCACTACTGATTATTGCAAAACGTTAGATAAGAAAATGAAATTGCTTACCTATTTTAAGCGCTACATGACCGAACATCTTGTCAAGGCTGGTGCCAATAATGTGAACTTTGAAAGCGATCAAATTTCGCGTATGCCCCATTTACATTCGTGGTTCCGCACAACTTGCGCCGTTGTTATGCATTTGACTAACGGCTCATTACAGGTTAGTAGCATTTTTTTTTTTTAGGTGGTTCTGAAATGTAAATAGTTTCTCTCATAGAATAGTATTTAAAAGTAATTTTCATTTATCGTTTTCCAGTTGAATTTCTCCGATCATATGAAAATTATATTATGTCCGCGTATGAGCGCCATCACGTACATGGATCACGAAAAGAACTTCCGTACTTATCGTTTCTCTACAATCAAACAACATGGATGCTCTAAGGATCTTTATCAGAAAATACGTTATGCCCATGAAAAACTAAGCAAAATGTTAGAGAAAATGATGTTTTAACATAGAACAACTAAGTTTGCCAACTCAAAAGCAACAACCAACATGGTATTCGTATTCGATTGGCTTCCATCGTTAATTTTGGCCATTTTCCTAATGTATAATGTTTTAAAGTTCAGTGGGCGTTAATAACAACACAATACAACTCAAGAATACATGCTGCGAGAGAAACAAAAAAATGAAAACAAATATTTTTTTATCAAATGTTTGGTTTTATTTTTATTTATTGATAATTAGTTTTATTTTGTATAATCGTATTTTTTCTTCATCTGTTAGTTTTTTTGTTCATTATATTTTGCATTTATTTCATAACATTCGTGGCAAATTTACCATAAATTCATACATTCAAACACGAGGCGCTAGTCGTCTGCATTAAATCGGGAAAAATGTAAATTTTATGTATGTACGCTTAAATCATCGACGACCGCACCTCTTCCACCGTTGCAGCTGCTTATTTATCTAAGTATTCTGCTTACATTAATACATACATACTTACATCCGTAAACATAACGAAAACTACGTTTTTAACTTTAGGTTTTAATAAATTTTAGTTTGTGTTTTTAATGCTATTAAATAAAAATACAAAATATTTATAAAAAAATATGTATAAATGTTGTTTTGTTTTAATCTGATAGTTCATCAGGTTTTCATTTTTGTTTGAGCCTGGCTTAAATTTACTCGACCAATTTCAAAAATTGAGCGCCAAATAATTGCTTCCCAAGCGTTTTTTGCGGTTGTTATGAGTAACAGAGAAATTAAGATAACGCCTTGCGCCGCTCGTTTTTTACTTGATATGACAGATGACGTCATTATAGAACAAAATGTATAGATATTCACACATACGTGCATGTAGAAAATTATATCATTTTATATTTGAGTTGAGATTATTTTTTGATGAAAAGGAAATTTAATTTCAAGATAATAATATGTATATCAATTTATATTTGAAACTATATAATATTAACATATTTATAAATTTTTGTTAGGAAAAACTTAGATATATTCCGAAGGATCATCATTTTTTTGTGGGTGCAAATGTTTTGTACTACAACTTGAAACATGAAAAAGCGAGTTGGGAAAATATGTTAAGTTGAGTGAGAAACCCATTTCTAAATCATTATAACACCTCAAGCAGCTCCGACGTCACACGATTTGAGTAACGTCACCAGAAAGACTTTCGCCTCAAACTTTCTTGTAACACCGTTGTCATTTGCTCCATGTCTTATATCAATTTCGTAAATATTTACGAAATTGTTTAGAAAACAGATTAGTAATTAATTGACGTTTTGGACCTACCGTAAGGCGACATCTATCATTGAAAACTTATTAGTAAACATATCGGTCTGGTAGCACGCACAACAATCAATCAGCGAAAGAGCACCACAAAACCGAACGTAAAAATAGCAAACGAAAGAAAGTCGAAATATAAAGAAGGCAAGGAAAATTAATTTTTTTTTAGAAAATATACTTTTGAAACGTCGGAACTGGAAATTTTTTCCACGACACTAATTTAAACAATTGGCTGGCTCGAGATGGTAAGTGAAGCCCTAATTGTGTTGTATTAAGAACAATACTGCATCCATTGCACACGCAGCGGATCAATGCAAGGGGTTGTGAAGGGCAACAAAGTATCAGCTATTTGCAGCTGACAAGCAATGGAATTTGTAAGCATTTGTACTGTTTTGTGTAAATTAGTTTAAGATTCAAGGTTTTCCTACTATCTGCATAGCTTCTTAGCTGATGTCCAATTGTTATAACCCTTTTAAACGCTGAAATTGCTTTAGGTTCTTACTCTAAATGGATCTTAGTACGATCTTGATCATCATACGGTGCAATAGGGAAATTCTTCAATAGAAACAAAGTATTAAATAATACGAACGCGCAGTTTAACCAACGTAAAAATATTATTTGGCAGTAGGTAATGATGTGCTTGCCAAAAACAAATTAGAGTAAAATGATAGAAAAGCAAAATGGAATCTATTTTTATTATTAAATATTTCCAAGTCTTATACTGAAATGGCAAATTTTTATATAAATTTGTGATCGTGGCGGGGCTTCTTGAATGCATTCTTTCTGCAAATGATAAGTTAAAATTGCATTTGTTATTTGCTGACAAGCATCATCGGATTTGATTTATTCTATTATATTTTTAATTTCAGAATAAATTCAAGTCTACGCAAAAAGACAAAGTTAAAAGATTCATTTCGTTAACTCAGACCGGCGAGCAGACAGCCATATACTGTTTACAGCAAAATGACTGGAAGTTGGAATTAGCTAGCGACAATTATTTTCAAAACCCGGAATATTATTATCGCGAATTAGATCGCAAACGCATTGAACAACTCTTCTTGCGCTATCGGGATCCCTGCGAACCACAAAAGATAACTGCGGATGGAGTTATACGCTTCCTTGAGGACTTGGCTTTAAGTCCTGAATCTAAATTGGTCTTAATTATAGCATGGAAATTTCGAGCCGAAGTGCAATGTGAATTTAAACACGATGAATTTGTGAATGGTATGGCCGACCTTGGTGTGGACAGTATAGATAAGCTAAAAGCAAAATTATCACAATTAGAAACGGAATTAAATGATTTAGCCAAATTTAAGGACTTTTATCAGTTCACTTTCAACTATGCCAAGGATCCGGGACAAAAAGGGATCGATCTAAATATGGCCATTGTTTATTGGAAGATTGTACTCAGTAGTCGTTTTAAATTTTTAGATTTATGGTGCAGATTTTTGGAGGTAATAAATAGCTTGTACAATATTAACAATATCTAAAGCACACACCGCTTGCATTACAAATTAAAATATGTTGTAAATTTTTTCAACCAACAGGAGAAACATCGGCGTTCTATACCCAAGGATACTTGGAATTTACTGCTCGATTTTGCTATCCATATTGATGACAATATGAGTAACTATGATTCGGAGGGAGCTTGGCCGGTGCTTATTGATGATTTCGTGGAATGGTGTCATGAAAATCATCTAATGGCAACGCAGCCACATCAGCCTCAACCACAACAACAGCAACAGCACCACCAGCTTTTGCAACAGCAGCTAGCTAACAATTATCAGCCTCAAATACAGACTATGCAGACGCCGCAACAACAACAACAACAGCGCAATATATCGAGTTATCAACCGACCTCGCATAGTACAAACATTAATTATGGCTAACGTTTATTTAATATCTTAATTATTTTAATAATAAATTTGCTTTTATTCTTATTATTATAAATAATTATAGTAAAAATATTGAATTAGTGAACGCTTCTTTCAAAACATACACAACCAAACAATTTATTAACACAAGCCATCGGAATCCTAAAAACACTATACAAATTTATTTCAAATATGGAACCCCTTCTCGGATTTGGTTACTGAATCTCTCAGTCAGTAAAGCTTAAAACGTATACTCGAAAATTATATTTAAATTCAGATTAGTAATGTTAACGATACTGCTGCTGTAGAATATTTAGTTTAAATTACACACAAAATAAGTTGTTTGAGTGTGGAATGCAAAATAAAAATCTTTTCCGACCTAATAAGAAATATAAATACAATACATGCTAATAATAACAAACAAATTATTGAAATATAAAAAATGCAAAAGTAAAATAATAATTGAAGCATAAATAAAAAAAATGCAAACTGTAAAAAATGAAATAAAAAGTTCTTTAATAAATAAAAGCTAAATTTACAATACTTGTTGTTTATAATATTAATTTTTATAAATTACGATTTTGTATTTCATGTACGGTATACATACATAATTATTTATTCAATAAATCTTTTGTTGATTTAATTTTTTTTTGTCGCATATCAAGTGAATATACACAATTGAAAATTTTTAATATCCGGCACACCAACACTATTGGAATTGGATTTTATAACCAACACAATAGTTTGCGATACGACAACACTGATGTTTGACATTTTATTTTGCTCTATATTTTCGTAAATTGCTGTCATAAGTTTTTCTTTCTATATAACGAATTCGTTCGCGAGCACCAAAAGAAGTCTATCAGCCGTGTAGTGAAAGAAAATTTTCTCAAGGAAATTTTTCCTATTTAGTCTGTATCAAATTTGTAAAGAAATGTACAAAAATTGAGCAATGCAGGTGCAATACCTTATTTCTGTACAAAAAGTGCAAAATTGCAAAGTGAAGGTGTGTAAAAAGCGTAGTGAAAAAGTGGTAGAAGAAAATTTTCTACATCAGCAGTGACCAGTCCAACCAACAATAGCAACATCATAACCACCACTAACAACAACATTAGAGTTGTTTCACAACAACATCAGAAGCAGCCACACAACTAAAAGCAACTTCAACGACATATCTAGACGAGACCTACACCAAACAGTTTAACAAATGAAGTAATTCAATTGGCCAACTAGAGCTGAGCATCGAGATTTTATGAACGTGTCAAAATCTGTTAAAAAGCATACAGTATTAAAGAAAAAATTTATATATTTACCAACTTAGATGGACTGGAGATTTAACTGCACCTGTGTGGCAAAAACTAAAACTAAGTAGCTTCGAGGAGCATCAAGCATGAGAACGTAAGTAGTTATGGTAAAGTAGGAAGTATCTATATTCATACATAAGGCGCTTATAGGTGGTAGGAAGGCATTTGTTGTGGGCGCTGGCATTGTTCGGCTAACGAAGGTGGCGACGACAATCGAGCGGTCGGTTGGTGGCCACGGCCTTCATTGATCTCCTTGCATGGGGCGTCCTTGGATCTAACGAACATACACACATGCACATGCAAACTATATATGTACATCTAAATTTGTGAATGTATATATGCGATATATTGCAAAGGAATCACAAAGCATTTTTTTGCAAGACTACCTTTTGTTGTTGGTTCAACCTAAGGAAGTGTGCATTTCACTGTCACTTATTGTATTTCGGAATCGAGTGTGCAAATGCATACAAGTGTGTAAGTCGCTTGCCCTTTCGGGCGAATGTTAGTAATAATAGTCATCGTTGGCTAGCGACATGTCACAAACATGCATACTTACTGTATTAAAGTACCTACTATGTCACTATTAAGCGCATTTAAGCGATTCTTGTTTTCGCATATACATACATATTGCACACCAAATCAAAAAAAGTCACAACTCAACATTTTTCAAAATCGTGTATCCCATAAACCAGTTCACATAAAACTGGAAAAAAAAGCTTTTAATACCTTTATGTCTGTTTCATGTTACTCGCGCCGCCAGTTTTGCCTCTCCTACACATTTGAGATTTTTTGAGTTGTGACATTTTTTAATTTAGTGTGCGAGATGTACAAGTATATAAAAATATTTAAATTAAAAATATACACATATGTACGTCGTGCAAATAAAAGAAAAATATAACAGCTACACTAGAAATCGAGTATGCGAAAGATATGAAGCAAATGAGAAATAAATTAAATAAGATCATAAGCATTCATGTCAAAGAGAAGACCATGAACAAATTAATAGGTGTTTATGTATGTTTGGTTGATTTGCCGAAAATTTAGTAGCAAATGCGCTAAAGTAACCGAATGGAATCATAAAAAAAAATAAAAAAAAAATTGGGAAGTGATGTGACAAATTACCTAATGCTTATTATCCATTTTATTTCGAAAATTATAGCGTGAATGACACGGAACACTGTTCCTAACATATATGAGCATAGACTGTACCGTGATTAGAACTTGTGTAAAATGTATTTTAATTATTTTTTAACAAATTTAATTAAACATTTTTTTTTTAAATATTTATAAAACAGGAATTTTATATCGTTTGAATTTGAATGAAGAGTGTTATAGTACTAAAAATTCTTAAAAACTTTCAACTACTGCTATTTTAGCTTTTCAAAATATAAGAAATTCAATAATAAAAACGTAAATTTTTTCCAAATACTTACTTAATTTTAAAATTTAGGTATGCGTGAAAGTATTTTGTTCATTTTACCCGCTAATTATAAATAATTCAGCAAATATAATGTAATCTAACCAAGTGAGGCATCTTATGCGGAGATCTACATATGTATTTGAAAAACATGCATTTCGAAGTTTGTTCACTTCAGTTCGCCATTTTTCTTTTACTTTTTTTTTGTTATTTTTGCAACCAAAATAATTCGGTCAAATGCCCTCCACACATCACATAATAAAACATGCAATCACATCGACACGCAATTTCAAGCCACTACACACAGTCCAAACACCTCCGCCTGGCAAGCGAGCAGCATACGCCGTAGCGTTCCACAGCCGTCCCCCTGGCGATGTGTTTGATAAGCGAGGTGTAAAGAGACAGTTTTAAGTCAATAAACCGCAATGACTTGGGCACTATTTGATCTGTCACTTCTAGTTGTATATGTTATATGTATACTTACCTACCAACAACATACATATGTATGTAAGTACATATATTTCTATTTAAATGTCTATCTTTGAACGTATGTACATCTCTAAGTATGCACATATATACATATTTATTTAGTATGTACATATTTACATATACATAGATATACATATGTGTTGACTTCTGTATGACCATCTTATTGTTGTATTTACATTTCAGTGAACCGCTTTGATAAATAAAACAAACAATAGTGAATTTAATTATCATGTGCGTCCCTCGTATTTTGCATTGCAAAACAGTCAAAAAAAAAAACGTGAAAATATAAACATACTCGATAACTCTGTGGTATCTCATTCACTCACCAAAGCGGCTGAGATAATTGTATTTGATTATTGTGGAAGCAAATACGTTTACACAAATGCGTATAGGTGTGTATATAAATGAGCAAAAAAAAAAACAGGACTTATGTATGTATATACATTCATACATAAATTTGTGTATCAATACGTTGGTTTAATGCTAATAGCCGGTATTTATGCATACAATTGTGTCTGAAGAATTCCCGCAGCCAAGTGGACAGGAGCTTGTCAAATGTACGGATTCCAAGATACGACTCGGTGGATTTATCTGTGATTTATTTTCAGTTTCTTCTTTTTATTACGTTTTTCCCAATCGCTTAGTCACCATTAAGGTGTTTAATAAAAGCGGAAACAATTTTGTTTTTGGCACAATGACTTGCCGCAGAGGTCAGCACAGCATTTCTTTAAATAAATATTTACAAATAGAAAAAAAAGGGGAATCAATTTCAATTATATTAAAATTAAAGCTTACCAAAACTTATTAGCATGATTAGGAGATATATTTTTAGGCTAAATATATAGTCTACGTTTGTAATATCTATATATGCCTTTATTTAATTAATTTTTTAGTTGCACGCGTTCTTCATTCACAGCATGCCTGACTGACTACCGGCTATCATGGGTAAACACTTAATGTGTCGTTGTTGTTGTTGTCATTATATAAATGGAGATAATTTTTTAGTAATTTCTTTGTAAAAGCACTTAATAGGTAGCTGCGATTTTCCATTAAATGCATGTAAAAGTATTTAAAAATATGTATGTATGTATGCATGTATGTGTGTACGTATTTTCATATATAAAAGTGAATATTTATTTTGGTTGGCTGATAAGATGTTGACAATATCCCTGCAGGGAATCCACTTTGCTGCTGAAATAAATAGAATTAAAATAATAATAACAATAATAAAACTAAAAGCTGAAGAAAAATGCGTAAAAGGAAAAAAGTAATTAAATCGATTTGATAACTGAATAAACTAAATAAGGCTAAACAAATAACAACAATAAATATATAAATTATATAAAATACATACATAAAATAATATATATTAAAATAATAAAAAAATATACCAAAATAATATATAACAAAATAATAAAAAAATATAATAAAATAATAAGAACAAAAAAATTAAAAATCAGATGAATAAAATAAAATATATTAGATAAAATAATATTAAATAAAATAAAAAATAGAATATAATAAAAATATTTAAAAAAAAATGTTAATTAAAAAATTTTAACGGAGTGAAATATACATATGCATAAAAAATGAAACAAAAAATGGATTAAACCATTATAAAATGCAAGAAAATAAAGCAATATACATACATATACATATATATATATAATAGACACTTTGTAATCGCAGAAGCGATTGTCGGCCGAAATCCTCCGCCAATTTGTGATTCTTGTGCCTTGATGTATTTCCAACAAATGGCGGTATCTACAGTTCATATTAGCAGCCTTCGATGGGCTGACGTTCTTTTTATGCCGAGCTTTTAGTTTTCAAGTCAGAAAAAATTAGAAAATTTAACTTATTTTTTATGTAAATTTATTTCCTATAACTTTTCTATGTTGCTCGTACCAGGATTTAAACGCAAGCCAAGAAAAAGGTATAATATTTAAATTAAAATATTTAAAATAAATAATTTAAAATAAAATATTTAAAATAAAATATTTAAAATAAAATAATTTAAATAAAATAGAATAAAAATGAAATAAAAAAATAAAAATCCAAAAACAAAAATCAAAAACAAATAAAAAATGGAATAAAAAAAAAATAAAAAATGGAATCAAAAAAAAATAATAAAAAAAAAATTAAAAGAAATAAAAAAATAAAAAAAAATAAAAAAAATTAAAAAAATTAAAAAAAAAATTAAAAAAAAATAAAAAAAATAAAAAATAAAAAAAAAAATTAAAAATAAAAAAAAATAAAAATAAAAAAATAAAAAATAAAAAAAATATAAAAAAATATAAAAAAATATAAAAAATTATAAAAAAATATAAAAAAATATAAAAAAATATAAAAAAATATAAAAAAATAAAAAAATTAAATAAAATAAAAAAATAAAAAAATTAGAAAAATTAAAAAAAAAATTAAAAAAAAATTAAAAAAATAAAAATTAAATTAAAGAAAAATAAAATATTAAAATAAAAAAGTTAAAAAAATAAAACTTAAAAATAAAAATTCAAAAACAAATAAAAAATGGAATCAAAAAATAACAAAAAAAAAAAATTAAAAAATTAAATAAAATTAAAAAAATAAACAAAAAATTAAAAAAAAAATAAAAAAATAAACAAAAAAGTAAAAAAATAATAAACAAAAAAAGTAAAAAAAAAATAAAAAAATAAAATAAAAAAATTATAAAAAAATAAAAAAAAAAATAAAAATTAAATTAAAGAAAAATAAAATATTAAAATAAAAAAGTGATAATAAAAAAATAAATCTAAATAAGATAAAAAAATAAAAAAGAAAATTAAAAAAAAACCAAAAAACCAATTAAAATAAAACAAAATAAAATAAAAAATGTAGTAAGGTAAATTAAATGCAATAAAATAATATAATGTAAAATAAAATAATAAATATTATAATAAAAATAACAACAATTAAAATAAATGAAAGTCAAATAAAATAAACTGCTCAAGTTATTTGCGGCCGAGCTCATCCTCCAATTTGTTGTTTGCATCATAATGCTCTTTCTTTAAATGAATTTTCTATAATATCTAATAAATACATACATACATTATCAAAGCTTTTCCTACAGGAAAACTGCACGTAATCAGCACATATAAGCTAATTTACATGTGATTTATGATACATTGACGGATGACACTGATAATTGATACGCTCGTTTGTTGACGACTTTTTATGCTAATGGCTTCCTATTTTATTTTTATATTTATTTCGTGTGACTTCGAACCCTCCCAATTATAAAATAAATAATTTTTATTATTATCAAGTGTAGTAGCAGTCTGAGCATATCATCACGAAACTGGTCTTGTCAATGTAGAAACGCCTTTAAGCGCGTTTATCTCTACGAGATCTTTAAAGAAAGTGTATGCACGTACACCAGTATAAGTTTTTTTTTTTACTTGAATATTCTCTTCTATGGAGTATAGTTGTAATCTGCGCATTGTTTTCATATATTCAATCCTCGTTATTGTCCTTTCTGTGCTGATAGTGGCAAAGAAATGATGGAGCTTATCGATAAACCAGCGTTGTTATCGTTACCTAAACGTTACATTGATTAATTCGAAATGTACGTAAGCGAGCCTCTTTTATTTAAACCATCAAATGCGTATTTTCCTTTAATGGCTTGCAATCGATCATTTCTTATATGGAAGGTTTAAAATTAATACATAAGACAAATGCGTGTAATTTTATACCGTTTGTTTTTTTTTTTACTCAATAACTGAGTCACAAATATTTTTTTTTTTGTAAATTTTAATGAATTCTTTGTTTTACAGCAACAGTTGCCTCATAAAAAGTATATCATTAAAAAGCAAAACCATTTGTAAGCTTCTAAATGTGTCAGTACAAATTTACATATGTACAAATGTGTACACATACATACATACATACATACATTAGCAAATATTTATATGGGCATGACACTTTGCTACTCTTTCTGCATAAAATTGCATTTATTTATGTACATATGAACATATGTATGTACATATGCACATTTGTAGTATGTACATATGTATATAAATAACCAACATGTGGCAGAAATATAAATTTATTTTTAAAATGACATTCTTGCTTTATATTAGGAACGTGTCGGGCAAATATGCGTCGCATGTGTCTCTAAAGCTTTTGATATCCTGCATTGCGTTTCTACATACATACGCATGTGTCTTTATTTTTTCAGCGGATTTTAGACCTTTACCATTGGAAGAAGATTAGGATTTTCCTATTTCATGTCCAATTCCGGCTCATTTGTTGACCTATTGCAATATTGTGACATTTGAGAAATAATCTCTATGGAGGGTTGTACCGCATTTGGCATTAAATACCGCCAATACCTTTTTCGGTAGAGGTCTTGGTTTACCATTTATTTTTTATTTATTTTTATTATATATATAACAAAAATAACGGTACGGTTCGCGTGACCTTTCGTACACTGCGTCCAATATTCGGTCCACATAATCGTCCAGCAGCGTCGGTAATTCGAGTAACCATGTTTTGGTTTCGCACCACGTCTACTCTAGCAGATTATCCCCCTCCTCAGAAATGCTTACAGTACCCACCGAAGTCGCTAACGCCGTTGTGGAATAGAGTATCGAAGAAGAACCGAATGAGTCCATTCCTGCCCGTCTGTTTTATGGAAAATTTCGCGGAAGGAACTTGGTTTACGGGCTTACGAAATCCAACAATGTTTGCCGATGCCGATTTCTTTGCATGCGTCCGTTAATAAACAAATTTGCCGTGTTGATATTCTATAAGACAGTGTTGAGGCGCCGAAACATCCGTAAAAAGTCACTGTTTGGTGAGCTTTGTGGACTGAGGGAATCCATTGATCTATATTTCTACAAAACTGAAGCTGGCCACAATGTTGTAGACAATCGGGAACAGTATAGATCCAATGAAGGAAACTTTATTATTAAAGTATTATATCAGGTCGTTAGCCTGTGTTGTGGTCTCTAAGATTGCGCGATTTAATCGCACTGGACTATTTTGTGTCCAATTGCTGCAAAAGATTACCTAGAATAGGGACTACCGGCTGGAATTTTATATATATAAAGTTAAATTCTAGGCCATAAAATTAAACGAAATTAATATCAGGTGTACAACTTTACTTCCGCCGTTTTCCGATAGGTGGCTGTACCGGCTGAGGCTGGTTGAAATACATAGACGTCACAAAAGTGGTCAAAAAGTACCTGGAAACGCTGAAATGGGAAGTCTTGCCCCACCCGCCACATTCCCCAGATGTCGCTCCTTCTGACTTCCACCTATTCCGTTCGATGGCACAAGGCCTGACAGATCAACATTTTCAATCCTTCGAAGAATTGGAAAAATGGATTGCTTCATGGATAGCGTCAAAAGAGGACTGCTTTTTTCGAGCCGGGATCCGAAAATTGCCGGAAAGATTGGAGGAAGTTGTCGCTAGCGAAGGACAATACTTTGAATAATATATCTGTAAGCACTTTTTCGCAGTGAAGCTTTTAATTTTTGAAAAAAACGGCGGAAGCAAAGTTGTACACCTGGTATATGCGTTTTAAACAATTAAATATTAAAAAAAAAATAATTACGTTTTATATACTAGATGCTGCATATGCATTTCTTCAACCACAAAGCGTTGAGATCTTTACACTGTGAATGAGTCATACGAGCCATACGACCCATACGAGCTGGTAGATGAGGCAGGTTAACTATAGTGGTACATATGTACATACATATGTACATATAGGCGTTTGACCACAAACTCTCCTTGTTAATGATAATTATGGTTAAAATCTTACACACATATGTACATACTCACACCTGTCTAAAGCGGTCTACTTATGTACATATATATTGTACAAACATAAATATGATTATTTAAACATATTCTTTGTTCTTTTGTTGTTTCTATGTATTTATATATGTATGTATATTTGTATGTTTGTATGCATGTTTGGCTTTTTCATGCGAAATTCCTTTATTCACGCCTCTTGACATTCCGAGACTCCTATAACACCCACACGAATTTGCCACGAGCAGTGTGTACCGCATGTATGTAGGTATGTATGTATGTACTTACGTATTAATGCACGCCTGCAAGTGGGTAGTACTTTCGTTTCCTTTCTCTGTTTCTCTGTTATTATTATTATTATTTTTTTTTTGGTATTCACCGGTACTTAAATACGCTATGCTTTGTTTATTTCTCGTGAATCATATGAAATATTTTTATTTTAATTTCTTATTTTTTTTTTTTTGTTCTCAAAACATCTGAAAAATCATTATTCGCCATTAACTTGACGCTCACCAATAAGCCCTGCTGCAGTTTTTCATTTAATTGCC